TTCCTAATTGGGTTGGAGACTAAAGTTGGAAAATTCTGAAATTCAAATTCATTTAAATTTGAATTCAAATTCTTTCCTATTTTAACTCCCCTATTTTAGGAAAGTTTTAATCTAAATCCGTTTGAATTTGAAATTTAAATTGGATTAGGTTATTTACTTTCCTAATTCCTAAAACCCAATTAAGAAGCCTTAAATGCTTTCATTAAATCCCTCCCATGTACTTTAATGCCACCGGCTCCCACTTGCTTGGTTTTGGAATTATTTCCTAAAATCTCCACTTTGTTTTAGGAAGTGATTTCAATTCTCCTTGATCTTTGTTGGCTGAATTTTCCCTAGACCCCCATGTATTAATTTATTTCCTAACTCCACGTAACAGCTTAGGAAATAAATTCCCCCCTTCTACCAGAATTTTCTCTCAGGTTTTGAATAAAAACCTGAAGCTAAACCTTCACTTTTCCTTGGAAATATTTCCTCTTTCCTACCAGCCGTGATATTCAAAACTCAAGCCTTTAATTACTTCCCTAGGCTGAGAGTGGAATAAGGAAATAAATTCCCTAATTCTCTCTACATCCCGCCGTTCCCCCCCTTCCCTGGATTTTCCCTGAAATCTGTCCAGATTTCATTGGTTCCTCTTTGGGAAAAGATTGGGAATTTCAATCTGCTGCTGGCCGAGTTGTCCAAAGCCCAGAATCCTGAGATTTCTCTCAGATTTTGGATCCAAAATCTGAATTTATTCTCAGTCTTTTCTCCCCTGCTGTCCTAATTCTTCCCCAAGGCTCTTGTGCTGTTTTTCCTCTACAAACTCCTCCCAAACCCTATCCCACGTTGGATTTCCTGCTCTCCAAAGCTGTTGCCAGAAAATTCCTGCAGTGGTTCTTGGATTCTCATCAACTTGAAGCTTCAAAACTGCTGCTGCCCTGAAAATTCCTGCAAAGGATCCTCTCCCTAGCAGAGCCTCCTCCCCGTTTCACATCAGTACTGCCCCAACAAGCACCTTGGCTAAATCTAAATACTATCAATGGGGTTCTGGCCAAACATTTGAAAGTGCAAAGTTCTATAAAGCATAGCCTTTAGTACCAATTATTCAATATGAAAATAACGAACTCACAAAGGATCATAAATAATTGATAAAAATAAGCCTCGCTGAACATGTATTACAATAACTAAATATGCCACAGACTCAGGTTAAGCTCCCATTGAAGCAGATAAAGTCAAGCAAATCATTAGTTTTTATATTCTTTCTCAGCTTCTTCCAAAGTATCAACATTCACAATAGTTTCAAGTTGTTTATAATATTAATAAGACTAGAAAAAGATAGGTAAAATAGGCTACATCAAAAAATGTATTTGGTGCTCGAAATAGAAATAAATTATAATTTATTAATCCATCAAATTCAGTGTGCTGCACTTACAATAATCTGCAGTTGTTGCCATAGTCAATAAAAAAGTTAAGTCATGAAAAAAGGAAGCCACATTATGAATTTACTAACTAGAAAAAGTCAATACCAAAGGTTCTTGTAACTATGCTCCCATCACCAGATAGTAAGTCCATCACCAGTTGCGGTTCCAGGTTACGAGCACTCAAATCCGACAAAGGTGGCTTGGTCCTTGATATCTGGACTGCAAAAAGTCAAGCTTTAGAAATACTATGACAAATCAAATTCTAATCACATAAAGCAAATTTACTAGGCCTTCCTTTTCATTAAAGAAGAGTTAGAATATATTAGATGGAAGAACATTGTTAGATTTGTCAGGAACAAAAAAGAAAAGGTGAAAATCTTGTACCTTCTCCTTCAAGTCAGAAGAGATTGAATATTCTAGTAGAGCTCTCCAATTTACCAGATCTAAGCGTGATATGAAGCTGAAATGAAATAATAAAAAAATAAGCTACACTGCAGTGAAAATATCTCCTTAATTGAAAAGTAGCATGCTTCAGAATAAGTACTTGTTGGGGAAAAAGTAAAATCTTTCTTCCTCATTTGACTTCTCAATATCAGACAAACTTGAGGAGTTCGATGAAGAAAGTCTGCTAGAAACAATGCCAGCTTCTCCAAGCGCTTTTGACACAAGCTATATCAGATAAACAGGGATATCACCGCATTGAAGTTACATAGAATATCCAGCTACTCAACTCACCTTGAATGCACCAAAAATCTGAGTCATTGACGTTGACATCATCAAATGCTGGGGAAACTGAACCAGCAATCAAATAGGTTGGAACTATCCTATGTTTGGTTTTCCTGTAATGAAACATACACCATATAAATCTACTAAGCTCAAAAGTAACTCCGCAAATGCCCAATCTTCGCATGCTGAGGACACATACCCAACAATAGTAGTCATTGGTACTTTTTTTATGTATAACCTTCATGTAACCACATGTACCACTTGCTATCTTATAATAAAGTCCAAAGAATTTTGTTAGACCGGTCCAGCCGGTCCACATGGGACCGGTCCAGACACAAAACAGCGGAGAAACTCCACCTGTAAAGAGGCCGCGCGAGCCGCACGCCGTGCGGGAGCCATTTTAGGAAGGTTTTTTTAGGGTTTTGAGAGGGAAATTTGAATGTAGGGACTGTTTAGAGATTTTCTTTTGATTTGTAAGCATTAAATACTTTGTTTTCCTAGGGTTAGGCCATCTTGAATTTGGGCTGAAATTTGAGATGTCTTAGATTTAGGTTTTCTTTGGGCTCTAGCGGCGTCTAGAGATTTGGGAGAGATCGATCCTCCTCTCGAATAGAGGATCAATTGTATCTTGCTATTTTCCGTTTCCCTTTCATCAAATAATACAAATTATCTACTGTTTTTGAAGTTTTGTGCGGACTTTTTGTGAAGGATTCTCGTTGTTTTCCGAATATTGATAGGAAATACTTGAGATCTACGACTGTTTCCTATCAAATTGGTATCAGAGCCAGGTTGTGGGACCGGTGGAGGGCTGATTTCGACAAATTTCAGCGGTGATTAATTGCTCGGTAGGAAGGGGAATTGCTATTTTTAAAGTTCCAAATCCAGAATTTGTGATTTTACAAACTCCGGATTATAATGACGGCCAAAAGGGTGGATGCTCTAGAGGAAAGGCTTGAAAGGGAGATGAATCAAATCAAAACGACGGTGGAGGAAAAGATTTCCTCCATCGAAGGACAAGTCGCCGATCTCCGAGACATGATGAAGAAGATGTTAGAAATTCAAAATCAAACGGCGGCTTCCGTGGCAAGTGGGGAAGGAAAAAGTACGAATTCGGAAATTCAAAGGGAGGAATATGAGGTGGAAATCATGGAAGGAGGAAGAAGAAGGCCCCATATGGAGCCTATCAAGAGGGAATAAAGAGAGGGTGGATATGGGGAACGCCATGAGGGATATTATGGTCGTCGAGGTGCTGATTTTGAAGATAGAAGGGAGGATTTCGAGGGGGGGTTAGGCTATGGTAGAGCAAGGGAAGACTGGGAAACATGGGGTGCACCTAGTACTTGGGAGAGGGGAAACTATGGAAGAATCCGGGGCAATGGGGGCAACCAAAAGGTGAGGAAGTTGAAGATGCCCATATTCGAAGGAGAAGATGCATACGAATGGATTTACAAGGTGGAGCGATACTTCGCCGTCAATGGGCTGACGGAGGAGGAGAAGCTGACCGCAGTCGAATTGTGCTTGGAAGGAAAAGCCCTATCGTGATATCATTGGAGAGATCAGAGGAAGCCTATTAGAAACTGGAGGGAATTCAAGGACTGCATAATAGAACGTTTTCAAACCGACCGGGGAGGAGATTTTTATGAGAAGCTCTTTGCTCTGGCACAGGAGGGATCAATAGCAGACTACCAGGAGCAGTTTGAGCATCTAGCCAGTAGGGTGAAGCGATTATCAGATACGGTATTGCAGGGGAACTTCATGAAGGGGTTGAAGGCAGAGATCCGATCAGCATTGAAGGTTTTGATGCCTCGTGACTTGGTGAAATCCATGAAGTTGGCCCAGCTGGTGGAAATCAGAAGAATCTAGAGAAGGGAGCCAGGAGCAACAGCTCAGGAGGCTCTTACAGGACGACGACCACTCTTCTATCACCTAAGGGGCTTGCATCATGCAACATTAATGAGACCACCAGGGAGAAGTCAGTAGGAGGTGGGAGTGGGGAAAATTTCAAGAGGATGACAAAGAAGGAGATGCAGGAGAGGAGGGCAAAGGGGTTGTGTTCCAAATGCGAGGAAAAGTATATGTCAGGATATCGGTGCAAGGACCGAACTCTTCAGGTTCTCACCGTCTGTGATGACGAGGAAACTGAAGAAGGAGGTGATGGGGAGTTAGAGGAAGAGAGGGAGGAGAAGTTGCATTTGGATCTGGTCGAAGCTTCCCTGAATTCAGTAGTAGGGTTTACCTCGAATCATACGATGAAGGTGAAGGGGGAGATAGTAGGCATGGAGATAGTTGTTTTGATTGACAGTGGGGCTAACCATAATTTTATTTCCACTCAGGTTATCAATCAACTGGGAGTGAAATTGGTGGACACCAGTTGTTATGGGATGATGATGGATATAGGGAAGGTGGAGAAAGGCCAGGGGATCTGTAGAGGAGTGGTGTTGCCCATCCAGAGGATTCAGGTAAGGGAGGATTTTCTCTCACTAGAGTTAGGAAGTACTAATGTCATCCTGGGAATAAAATGGCTGCAAACCTTGGGGGAAACCAAGGACAATTGGGGAGCACTCACGATGGAATTAATGGTGGATGGGAAAAAAGTGGTTATAAGGGGAGATGGAGGGCTATCCAAAGTCATGGTATCACTTAAGACCATGGTTAGGAGCCTACAAGAGGTGGAGGAAGTTTATCGGGTGGGACTACACAAGCTGAATGTGATCAAGATAGAGGAGGGAGGGGATGTTTCTCTTTTAGGGCAACCCCTACTTCAGCAATTTGGTAAGGATTTTATGCCACCTCAAGGATGGTCACCTCCACCGGAACACAAGCATATCTCCACCTTGAGGACAATGTGGATCTTTGGGAGGGGAGTATTGTTAGACCGGTCCAGTGGACCGGTCCTGCCGGTCTACGCGGGACCGGCCCAGACGCAAAACAGCGGAGAAACTCTGCCTGCTAGGATGCCGCGCGAGCCACACGCCGTGCGGGAGCCATTTTAGGAAGTTTTTTTAGGGTTTTGAGAGGGAAATTTGAATGTAGGGACTGTTTAGGGATTTCCTTTTGATTTGTATGCATTAAATACTTTGTTTTCCTAGGATTAGGGCATCTTGAATTTGGGCTGAAATTTGAGATCTCTTACATTTAGGTTTTCTTTGGGCTCTATCGGCGTCTAGAGAATTGGGAGAGATCGATCCTCCTATCGAATAGAGGATCAATTGTATCTTGCTATTTTTTGTTTCCCTTTCATCAAATAATACAAATTATCTACTGTTTTGTGGTTTTGTGTGGACTTTTTGTGAAGGATTCTCATTGTTTTCCGAAGATTGATAGGAAATACTTGAGATCTATGAGTGTTTCCTATCAAATTTATAATAAATCATGAAAATTTGAAAATTTGGAAAGAATTTATAATAAATTCCAAAGAACTTTGTTACCCATAAAAATTTAAAGATAATAAATTTACTTCATACCTTTCAAGCACGCAGTTTGCTTTAACTAGCCACCTTGCATACTCCCTTCTGGTGCATAAATCATCAGCGCTGGCATCATAGTCAATGATCTGAGTACCATAAAAGAGTTATCCAAAATCAATAATCAGAGTCGCATTAGAAATCTCAAATTATCCTATGAAAAAGAGTATGCAGTTCCACTTCTTTCATCAGGGTTGTACGTTTTATGGCTTAAATTGCGATGACGGATGAACCCACTAGTTTGTTTAAAATGATTTGCTCATATTTCGAAAAGGATTTTCAAATAAACTAATTTCACAGTTTGAATTGATTAATTCTCTAAAATAATAAATCAAACTAGACAATATACATTAGCTATCAAACATAAATTAAATTATAAAAAAATCAAACCAACACCTTCGATATCAGTGTCCGGTGATGCCCCCACAGACATCCCGCAATAGATGTCAATGACCAGTAAAGGCCACTATTACTATTTGACAATTGGCATCATTGGTCTCATACTTGCATGCATGCATCAATGAGTGTGCGCATGCAAGTGAAGATGTGCAATCATGCATCCATGCCATCATTAGTGCAACCAGTGGCAATCGCCATCATCATCAGTTGAAACAGTATAACATGTAAACAAGTCAATGAAATTACACATGTAAATGTGCATGATGCATGCAACAAAAATTTATACATGAGCGTGCATGCATGCATGCATTCATGTGTGCATGCATGCTTTCAAAAACCAATTATGATAGATATTAAGTTAATTCAAATAGGCATGTAGATAATAGTACAACTTCTAAATTAAGATTAGGTGTTCAAAATGAAAAACAAAAAAAACTCTAGATTCTTATACAAAAGAGGAGATCATAGATAATTAAATATTAAACTTTATAAAAATTAATAATTAGACTATCTATTGGGTGGACCGAAGTGTTGAGCCACAAAATCACTGACAAATAAGTTGAGTGTGGCGAAAATAAAGTAAAATTATGAATGACAAATGAGAAATTAAATATTAGAGAAACTACTGGAATAACATGTGATGAGGATTAGATTAATAGACTTCTGGGGCGTTTGCAACAACTTTTATTTTCATTTTTTTTTTTCCTTTTTCATTTATGTTTTGGTATAAAATAAGAATATGCTTTATATCTTAAATATAGGTCATTTTTATTTTTTACTGAATATCAAATAAGTCGATATATTTTGTAGTTTGGAAGAGAGTGGTGTTGTCGCGGCTAAAGGTGTTAGTGGATGAGATGAAGACACAACTTGATTTAGCGCAAGATTGCCCAGCAGCATGCATGATGCTGGCAAATGAAAGATGAGGGCTTGGCTGACGGTGGATGTGGAGTTGAATACCAGCTGGTGCAGGCTTGGCTGACGGTGGATGTGGGGCTGAATACTAGCGGGTGCAGGGCTAGCCATTGTGGAGCGGGAGGTCGAGTGGTTGAGAATTCATGTTTTCAAGATAAAAAAATACCTCAAGTCAATTTTAAATTTTTTTAAAAGCATCTTGATTGATTTTTAAAGAAAAAAAAAATATGAAACAAAATACAAACCAAACATTTGTTATCCTCATTTATAAGAACAAAAAACAGACATGCCCATAGTGCTTGGCATGTTCAATGGAGAGCAAGCTACGCAGGCAAAGAGAATTTAGTATTTATGTGAAGGAAAAGGAAAGAAATATGCCAAATGAAATTGGGATGAAGTTGTCATAAAAGCTTGCCTAAACAGTAATTAACACTATCTATAACAAAACTAAACAAGAATGGATTGAGAATAAAAAGGAAATAATTGAAAAAAGACTAATGAAGATGATAATGATGATTTAGGTAATGCAAATGTTTAATTTTTGTAGGCAAACCCCCAGAATTATTTTCTAACAAAAATTCCTAAAGAAGATTTATAAAGGACAAGAAAAAAATCCAATACGCCATAATTAGTCTAACCATTGTTATGAATAAATAAACCTTTTTTCTGAACTATGAAACATTTACATAATTCAGCAGGCAAACATCAAACATTAAAAGAAGATAAAAGAATGTCTCATAAGAATACCTTTAACATTTTAAGGACATGTAAAGCTTCCAGTTGAGTTGGATCAGCAGGAACAGGGACAACAATGCGTTTATTTTCTTCAGAAGCAAACACATAAAAAACTGACATTTAGATTTTAAAGACAAAAGTAATATGAAAAAAAAAGGGTAAAAATAATATCAATTTTGAAGAAAAAAATTTCTTTTGTTAATATTGAACGTAGCTCAACAAACTAAATCACACAGGAGCATTTTAGTCACATAAAAAGGCTAGGGTGCATTAAGAATATAACAGATGTGTCAAATACAAGTAGAAGTCATTTTTTTTTTTGGTATTCCAAATTAGTACTTAGGCCTAACAACCAAAATTTTACACTATTAGGTAAAACATTAACCAGGAAAAATTAAATTTCCCCCGAATGAAATATGAAATTCAGACTGAGTTTATCTATTTTATTATGGGATTCAAAAAGGAGCAATCATGTGTGTTTAATTACATCCTTATTTAAGAAACACTAGCTTGAGAATTATGCTTTCGTTCCAAATTTATTTAACATGGGTTTACACGAGATAAAATCTAAATTAAAATCAAGGATGATGGGGCCCAAAAGGAGCAAGGGTGCAAGTAAGGAATCTCAAGAAAAAAAAACACACAATCCGATTAGAATTTCATGGATGCATCATCCATGATTATCAAACATTTAGTCTACTTAACTAAGAAGAAAGTCAACCCAGTCTAACATAAAGCTCTTTATCAACAACAATGAATTGTGCTGTCCAAAGATATCTCATAGATTGTGAGCCAAAAAAAGAAATATAGATCCCTAGACTCTATGCGCTCGAAGAAAGGAATGTAAGGCTTACTTTTTCACATCAACGAAAGATGCCTATAAGAAGAAAGAAACTAGTATTTTCAACAATCTAAATCAAAATACTAAACTAGACTTACGTCCTGTCTAGATTAGGACTACCACTAAACATGTCTAAAAATACTATACCTCTCAACATAAGCATTTTTAGTCGTCAAGTATCAAATACAAGAAGGATACCCCAATGGACATGTATGTAACGTGTATGATATATCCTTAAGTGAAGACTTTTATTAATGAACTAGTTTACTTAGGCTATGTCATACATTTGAATCAGCTAGGCTAATGCTAATTTGAGATTCTCCTTAATAAAAGGTACAATTAGTCAAAATACTAACTATATTTCAATATAAAAATAAAAGCAATAAAGGGCAGAATGCTCATTTATTGTAACCTTTGGTCCAATGAGGGCCATGCATTTATTTCTTTTAAAACATTGCCTTAAGAGTACAAGCTGAGACTTCTTGATGACTCTGAAACTTTCTCCAACTCTCTTGAAGTTAAATTAACTGAGAAAATGACCAACACAATGCCTCTAGTTATAGGTGAAATGATGTAGGACTACAATGCTTGCAATGAATTTGTTAAGAATTTACACAACTTATTGATTAGAGAAATAACAAATAGAACTATTAGCAGGTAAAACGATGAAACAAAACGAAAGAGCGGTCACTCTCGTTTAGGCTAAGTTGCATAGCAAGAACGTCAAATCATTAAAATAGCATAGAAAATCAACAATATACAAACATAGAAACTTTCAACGAAAATCCCTAATCTAACAATAAGATTAGAAAACAAATGAAGTGCACTCAATTCTCTATGTTTACTAAGCTCGGCAGAATCGGGCAAACGCGACCTTCATGACTACAATCAAATCACAAGAAAGGATTAGACTTTAAGAAATACGAGAAACGGGAGATTAGAAAACCTTCGTTAATGATCGGTTGTAATCCTCCACCCGACGGTTCCAAGTTGTTCTTCAATAGCCTCGACCAAGGTATCCAGGATGCGCTCTACGTACTCTTCTACGGTGTGGTCGATGCGTGGGTTGACGTCGAAGAAGGATGAATGCAAGATGCACACAAACCCTTCTCGTTGTAGGAGAGGTCGTAGTCAAGGTCTGGATCAGCCATTCATGAATGCTCGTCGACGATTGCTACCTAAGATCACTAGCAACTTCGGATTCCATTAAAGAGAAAGAAGTTTCTCTTAAATGTGAAGTGAAGGTGGTGAACTGTGGCCGGCCAATGGATGAGGGTTGGGAGACGAGAAGTAAGTTTTAAAGGGGAAGAACGAATTTAAAAAAAAAAAAACAAATCTGAAATAAATTTCAGATTTTTTTAATTGGGAGCGATCTAGGAAATTAAGTTTGAATTTAATTCCAAGAGGGGGAGGGGTGTTAATATAGAGAGAGTGGATTGGAGAGAGGGAGAGGGGGCGGGTAGAGAGAGGGGGCGGCGGCATAATGAGGGATGGGGATTTATTTTCTAAATCAATGATTTGGTTTTGGAAATAAATTAGGAATTATGGGCTTTAGTAAATTCGTCCAAGGAGGATTATGGGTTTTGGAAATATTTCCAAAGGTAGGGAATTGGAATTAGGAAAGAATTCCAATCTCAACCTCAATGGGGGGCCGGCGGCATTGATGGCTATGGGAGCAATTAATGGGAGGGATTGAGGGCTTCTAAAATTGGGTTTAAGAAATATGAAAGTTTTAATTAAATCCAATTCGAATTTAAAATTCAAATGGATTTAATTTAGGAACTTTCCTAAATAAATTTGTTAATTTAGGAAAGATTTTAAATTTCAAATTGAACGAATTTGAATTCAAAATCTATCCCAAATTATTTCAATCCCAATTAGGCAATGGAAGCAATGGGAGAGGGGATTTGGGGTCGGCGGGTGGATGGGCTCGGGTATGGGGCCGGCGGCTAGGTGGGAAATTGGTGGAGTTTGGTCAAATGAAGGAGAAGGGCTTGGGGAGGGAGAAAACCGTGGATGTGATGTTGGCCGGTAGTGGTGGTGGAAGGAGAAAGGAAGAGATATGGAATAGAACCACGAACCCGACTCATCTAGGTTGGTGGGTGATGCGCAATTCTCCCTCTCCTAGGGCCCTCTCTCCGATTTCTCAAGCTCTCACAAGAACTCATGCAAGGGGAAGAAATATTTTAATCAATCATTCATTAATCTCAAAAGAAGAATACTATGGCTATAAATAGCCTCGTACAAAGACTCAAAAACATAAAATGATGACAATGCCCCCAGGGCTTACATACGACCTCCCTTCATAAAAGGGTACAACGGAAAATTAATAAAGCAACTAATACAGCAAATACACTATGACAATATAAATAAGAAAATACATAAAACAACTCAGAAATACAATGACTCAATCGTGGTCGTAGATTGACGGCCACGTCTCTGATTGACTCTTCACGATCTGATGTCCCATCATGAAATCTAATCCCTATGGAGCCTATCTTGACACATGCAAATATTGAATGCAAGCGAGCTAACAATACTTTAAGTGCTCAACAAAGTTTTGTTGCAATACTTGCAATCAGATCCACAAGCAAACAGAACCAAGTTAGTAAACATGCTCTTGAAAGATGTAGTATCATACAAAATGCTATCAGTTAAACTATAAATGAAATCTGTGCACGTTTTATCAAAAAATTTAGGCTCAAATTATGTTGCATCAAAAGTGGGCAACTGTACTAAAAAAACATATGTATCATTCTAGAAAAAGCGCAATCTTGCCTTAAAATCCAAACCCAAATTCATTAAGTTATGTGTACATGCCTGAGTGGGTTGCATTACCTAAGAGGCACAATTATAAATTTCACTTTTCAAGCTCAATCCTCCATGACATAAGTCTAAAATCGACAAGGCACATGCCCCTAACTCTAAAAATTTTTAAAGTTGTAAGAGAAATTCCACAACTCATCTGCCTATAGGGCAAGGTTAAAGTTCTCTCTTTCTAGTTCGATCCTCTACATCCCAACGACTAGAGTCGACAATACGTCCCCCCCAACAAACATTTACACAATAAACTCAAAATAATCATGAAAAAAGAATGAATTTAAATTTTCCCTCGCGACCTAATCAAATTAATTGCATCATAATACAATGGGATTTAGATACTCAATCGTGAAAATCGCTAAAACTATTGTCTTACATTTGCATAAGGCCCTCAAGGCCTCTTACAAAAAAATTAACTTTAAAAAATGGAAAGTTTAAAACTCTTTAAGGCCATTTCAACTACGAAAGCGAAACCACAAGTTTCAACTTATTTGATCCAATCCTTTTACATACAAGGGGTGCAATTGACAAGGACTTCAAGATGTATGTATTATAAAACTTAAATGATATATAAACCCATGGACTTGATCCTTTGCAAGAAAAGAGGAAAAGTTTAAAAGATTCGAAGTATCAAATTACAATTATACTAATTACCCCTATTATGCCACACATTATAATCAGATTAGTCTATTCTATCAAAAGTAAGTTCTTAGCTACAAAAAACATATACTTCAAGCAAGATCCATACCCATGAAGGCTTGTTTTGCTGCACATTACAACTGAAGGGATCAATACTATCAAAATCAAATTCTTTACTAGGAAAACAATTATTTCAAGCAATTTAGATGGCCTTATTACCAAAAAATCTAAACTGTTGAATCCTATTATAAAAATGCTCGCAAATCCCAAAAAAAAAAAACTTTAGGCTCAAATCTTAGCCATAATGTATTCAAAATGACCTTAAAATCACAAAGAACTCCACTAAATCTAGGTCGCTCATACAAAATATAAAATCGAAAAAAATCTACAAAATCCAAAATGACCAAGCAATAATAGGTCACGCAAAGGTTAGAGCAGCCACCAAACCATCCATCCTCCACATTGATCTACTAAAGATGACAAAACCTGATTTTGACCAAAGCTCACAATGAGCAAATGTCATATCAAGCGTATCCAAAAGATCACTCTCAAGGATTTCAAGCACGCAAGTAAGAACATGGTATGTGTCCTCTGAATGGGTGGTTTGCCGCAAAATGGCACCAACATATTAAAGTTAAGGACAAAACCCAAATATTCACCAATGGCTCAATGTATAAGTTGTGAACCATAAAATGTATATAATACGGCGTAAAGCCCTCAATTAGTCAATAACAATTAAAATAGGCCCCTTACGTACACATTCATCCTAGGTCAATGATGTCCTCTCAAACGATGTAATATATGATTGTTGACAAAAATTCTTAGTTCGAGAGGGTCGACTATCTTTGTTGATTACATAGAACATAGTCCATAATAATACAAAATGACTAAATCAAGAGAACTTTAATGGGTACGTCGTCATTTCCTCACCATTCGCTCTAAGCCAACAATGATGTATTTTAATTTTACCAAATTAAAATGTTGCTACTACAAATTAAATATTGAGAGTTTGTTAATTATCCTTAATATGGGGGCTTGTGCCTTTGAAACTCCTCCTGTTCTTGAATTCTCTCTACATGGTACATGGTAAATGCATTTATTTCTTTTCAAACCCTTAATCTTACCATGATATTTCCTATGGGATGAAACTTTGCTCTACTGTCAAATTATGATATGTAGCTAAATGTGCAAAAGACTTTTGAAACCAATAGAAAGTTTGTTTATGATGAAAGGCAAGGTTCCCAAAGGAACTATGAATAAATTTGGATTTTCCCCCTTATGTTTCCTTCAACTACAGCAAGCAATGCTATTTTATTCCTCCTTTGCAAGAATCGATCTATTCTTGAAACCCATTGTTCCTCCAATAACTAGCAAGGTTTAGTTGTCCGCTAAAAACCGTCGTAGAGCAATACTTGTTGTCTGTTGTAGTGACTTTCTACAATATTGTGGCCTACCGCAATAACTTTGCTACAGTATCATGCCCTATACATTGCGAGGTATTGGGAAAATTATGGATTATTGTAGTTGCAGTAATCAAGGCAATTTGCAACAAGAATTAATTTGAATATAATCATGTCTTCCCCAAAACTAACTTCACAATTTAAAAGGAATATCATACTTCATAAACTAATTTTCTAAAATAAGAATAATCTTATCCTTCCTATATTAACTACAAAAAATGAAGAAAACTTTATCTAAATTTCTAAATTTTGATATTCAAAATACAAATTTAAGCACAATAAGTTTAAAATTCAAAACACATCCTTATCCTAGGGTAATCTATATTTTGATACAATGGCCAGCCTTTCAGAACCTTGATCTATAATACCCAAAAATGTTTAAAAGATATGTAAGTATAAGCTTCCTCTAAATGTTCATTTAGTTTCATTAATTCTCACTATTTAATTATTAGGTATTAGTTAAATTAATTTATGTACTTAATCCGTAAAAGGTAATGATTTTTTTATATTACTGTAGCAGTCAGAAATTTTCACTTATCTATGCATGCAAGCTTTGATGGAAAATCATGTGGCTGTAGAGTTAGTGGAAAGGATAGTGGAATAAATAGTGGGAATAAAATATTAGTTAAGTAGATAAGAAGCTAGAGCACTACTCCACTTTATTTTCTCATTAGCTTGCTTTAGCATTCAAGAAGGCGGACTGTGCCGGTGACTTGCAGGTGGAAGGAGGCGAGCTCAAGCATGCAAATGCAGTCTTTACTTGTTGATTTCTGAATTTCAGGTTAGTAGATTTCTGAGTTAGGAAAGAAGTGTAGTAATGGTAGGAATGAATTGTATAACAACATATTTTAGTGATTTTCTTTGAAACGAGATGTGGTTTACTGGAATTAGGTTATACTACTAAGGTAGGATACTGCAGTTGCTGAAAAACAGTTGAAAACTATTTGTAAGGCTGCCATATTTGCTGAAAATAGCAAATTTGGAGCAATAGACTGTTGTAGTTGTTGAACTACTGAGTTACTTCATAGCAGTGGTTTTACTGCAGGTAAGGGAAAGGAGCCCGTAGGGCACTAGGCGATAAAGAGGTGATCATTCGTTTTTTGTGTAAATATGTTTTGGTGTACAAAGAGATCTTAGAGGAGATCTTGGATAGCTATATAAACCTTTTTGTATGTAAGTAAATTTCGAAACTTTTAGTAGAGCTCTGCATTTGTTTTAATTCTGTTGATGTTCATTAAAGTACATTATATGCTTCCATTATGATGTTCGTAGTTGATAGGTTGACATGTTAAGAGAGCCTAGTTAGATTTTTTTCCTTCTCTGTTATACTCTAGTTTGTTTGTTAGAGAGTAAGCCAAACTGAGGTGTGACATGATCTCTCTCCTATGATGTCTGATTAGCAACATGCCTTCGCATGTAAACTCCTGATGACTTGATCTTCCTACCCAATAATGCGATCTAAAAAATTCTTCCAAAAGTCCCTTCTGTATCATTATTTGTGTCATCCATTGAGAAAATATCAATGTTTTAACATTCAAATGAACTTTGTATTATTGAAAACGTGTATATAACTAATTTTATTAATGCTAAAAAGAATGAACATGTTTTATCTTCATGGAAAGTCATTAAAGTGAAATCAAAATGGTTGAATCCTCCTCCTAAGATAGATACATACATACACACACACACACACACACACACACTATATATATATATATAAAGAGAGAGAGAGAACTTTTTGCTATATATTTCACCTACTAAAATCATAAAATATGACCCAAAATCATGGAGAATGTGTATTATCTATGAAGCTTTTGGATGCATTTAATGGTTATTAACTTGACTTATTTTTATTTTAATATAATTTGACTTCTTATTCATGCTTGGCTTGTATTCAATATGATAATAAAAGATTTGAGCTTGAACCAGATTTCTTGAACTTTAACAACTTTGATCTTTGCTCATGTTTGTCTTGACAATAAATGAAACGTAGGAACCCATCAAAGGCATACACTGTTCAAATTCCCATTCACACCCCTAATGGTAATGGAACCAAAGGTCAGTCTAGTGAGATACTTTACTCTGTGATAAAATAAGATTGTTAACAAAATGCATACCAGGTACTTTGTTCTCATGCTTCAAAAGACCATATTTGTATTCTATACTTTCAACTGGATCTACATCAATAATTGGTGTAACTGATTCTGTAATGTTGGCAGGTCCTTCTGAAATCGCAGAAGGCACCAAAGGATTATGAAATATGCCTAATGGAGCACCGAATTTGACTCTAAAGCCTGCAAAAGTTATTACCGAGTATCAATTAAATTGACATTAGTATAAATACATATTAAAACAAACAGAAAATAAATGATATCTTTTGAAATCCCCAAAGGCAAAAGAATATCAAAAGAACCAAGTATTTGAATGTGAAATATGCAAATGTTCGTTACTAAGCATCAATTAAATCTATAACGGTATGAATACCCATTATACAACAAAAGGTATAGACATGATATCTCAAGGAAACCCTTTTTTTAACCTTATTTTTTAAGAGAATAAATTAAAGCTTAAACCAAAAGCTCCAATGTCACAATAACTAATTCAATGCAATAAAATAAGAAAAATGTTTGTGTTGCATTGCTCACAAAATATAAAGGTTGCTATGCATGCTTCCAAAAGAGAAGGCATAGCACATATTAAGTTTCATGGCAATTATCAACCATATTCCAAATTGTTGCGGTAGAAAGCTGCATTTAGAATAAATTACAAATCTTTAGTGTTCATGTCACACAAATAAATTCTTAGGAATTATTTTCTCAAACGACAAAAACATCCCAAAAGATCATCCGAATCAAGTAATCAAAACACATTCAAAAGTTCATAAATTCAATTCAGAATATTTAGATAAAGATTATTATTTTTTCCTGCAATCTCTCAACTGAAATGTTACAATAAAACCTGCAAAGAATAAATTCTAACAAATTAATATTGCGTTCCAACAATTTTGTCTTCAAGCATATCCTCAACAAATCTTTTCTGGGCCATTGATCTAACTGCTCTTCCTATGAATAAATGATAGCATATTCGTGCTGCAAACGAAAAAACAGCAGTAGCTCTTCCACTTCAACAAGAGGTTAAGGATCAACAGCATGACAATCATTAAGAGAATGAAGCCACAAGATATCAACAGCTGTATACAAAATGTCTTTCAATGAAAGAATTTCAATGTGATACAATTTCTTTCTAGATCCATTAATTATTCAAAAAAATGCTAACAGTAAAATTTTAAATTGAAGACATGCTCTGTTAGCTATATTTTTCTGCAATGTATCAAATGTCGAGTTATGTATTTGTGGATGACAAGATCAACCCGCTGCAATTTTCCACCTCTCCAAGGGACTATTCACATGGCATCCAAAAAGCCACGTCGCATCGCATCAACAGGAAGACCATCTAGGTCAATAAAATGAACTCGAGCATATTACTCAATTCAAAGCAAACAATCATACACCAAGAACTCAAACGAGCATAACTCCTTATCCAACGAGGCTTGAATATTGCTGATATAAATCTTAAATACTGTAGAGACCAACAACCCAAACACACAAGGTTGGGAGATAACAGAAGTGATCCACAATAGGATTATAAAGCATACCCAATCTAATCAACCTTTGGTTTCTTTTTTATAAGTATTGTAGCACAACCACAATAATTGCAATTGATCGTGACTTGAGGAATGATTACAAGTCACTTAGTTAGAGGCCCAAGGGACCACTATTCTAGAGACCGGGAAACAAGCATAAGGGGCGCTTCTATCATTGTGGTTGCACCCAAACAATAGTACCTAGTTTATTGCACAGTAGCAACCATCTAACACTCTCATATGGTCAATGTCACCATATGTAGTTGTGGCAAACAATAGGTGAGCATGCCAACTAAAACTCAACCAACCTAAGGATAATGAAAAAACTGAAACAGTGAGGATCAATACCCATGAGATAAGGGCCTAAAATTTTATTCGCCACATTCTCTATTGTTCACACTGTCCACGTTACAATGTCTGACTTCAGTGATTTAAAAAAAGGCATCAAGAAACGCAGTAATGTAAGTGCACTCCTACTGGCCTGATGAACAAATGCCCCATTCCAAAAAACGAACAAAAGCAACCTTTTCTCAAACAAGAACGATACGCCAAGGCAGCCAACAAGATTGTCAGCGCCGATGTCCCAATCCCAGCAAGAATAACTCTCGATAACCCTGCAAATCAAGCAAAAGATATCAAAGGGAACAGTTCCAAGCGATAACAACAATTAAAGGCGTGTGATATCCAAAAGGAAAATATCAAAACCCAACCAGTTCTATTTGACGCATCGAATCCCCGGACGGACCATCCTCCACAGCCGTCTTCATCCGAGTTCCCATCCAACTGGATCCAGGAGGCCTCGAGTTTCCCTTCCAAAGCACAGATGAAACTCCTCTTCCACCGGAATCTGCAGGCATGATAGTGATTGCATGGCGAGAAGACCGTCGGAGTTCTCGTACGTACTTTGCAGGAGAGAAAAGGAGGAGAGGAGAAGGGCAGATAGAAGCTCATTTCCTCGCGGTAGCTAGGATTCCATGGCTCGTCGGAGCTGTGGATTATCGCAGTCGGATCCACCCGAGACCAGTCGAGACGCATGGAGACCGAGAGTCATTTTCGGCGGTCGTATTTGAACCATGTGATGACAAACCGATTACTAACATCATAGCCGTTCATTTTTATTTTGGACGGTTAAGAAGCAATTTATTTAAAACATAAATAACTTTAAACAAATACCACACCAAATTATTTTATTTATATATTTAGCACCCAAATTTTATTATTTACTCTTGACATATTCAATTTATTTCAATAACATCACAAGTTCGAATTTTTATTAGGTGACGTAGCTTTATGTTCGGACGCCAATAAAATGGTGTCACGTACTCTTTCTCTTTACCGCACGGCCCGACAACCCGACCCGGACCGGACCCGGGATTCCTATGCATTAGTTGATTTGTGCAGACCGGGGTATTGCTAGGTATTGCTCGGCAATAACGAGAAATATCATTATGTCAAGACTAATACCTAGCAATACCGAGCAATACCCTTGTTTTGCTCGGTATTGCTATGTATTGGTCTTGACAGAGTGGTATTTATTGTTATTGTCAAGTAATATCTAGCAATACCGAGCAATACCTATCAATACTCAAACATAACAATATTGGATTCCGGTCTGGGTCGGGTCGTCGGGCCGCGCTATAAAGAGTAAGAGCACGTGGCAACATGTTATTGGCGTCCAGATGTAGAGTTATGTCAGGTGTCTGGACCTAATAATTGTTCCACAAGTTTACACACTTTTTTTATTATTATTGTATATTGATTAAAAGTTCACACTCTTTATTCTACCATTAACTTCTCTTATATCCCTAGCCATGTACTACACCATAAAGATTTTTTTTCAATCATTCTTTGTTTTCACCCAACATGATCGTACGAGGTCACAATTCACCGCTTATGAATATCTCTTGCTAAGAAGTTTATTTTTTATTATTGTCAATCAAATTATATTTGAACGCAAATTTTAAGATCATATTCTTAACATGTCAAACACAACTGGTGTTATGTTCGATCAAGTTCAACTAAATAATAGCTCGATACATCTTTATATTCTTACTTGTTTTATGTATGTTTCAAGATAAATAAAGTATGCCTTTTTATATTATGTTTATGTATGAATAATCTTTAGATAAACAAATATTTCATATTTAACATTTAGTGTGAGACTAATAACTCTTAAATTGAAAAAAGGTATTTTGGATGTATTCTAACATAGCTTGAATTCTTAGACTAAAAATATGCTTATGCTCAGCATGTCAACATCTCTACCAATTAGAAACTCAACAATGATTCAATCCTAAACAATTAAGAGAAAATTTATAATGATGATAACAATAATGAAAATAATTTAATGATGTTGATGTATGTTATACCTCAACATAATCAATAAAATGATACATTGATGGACTAATGAACAATTTTGAGCATGTTATCAATGGATGTCAAGATTTCATTGGTACATTTTTCGTTGAAATTGTAAAATGTGCAGGCAGTCATTATGAACTTATTATCGAAAAGGTTGAATGACGCAAGCTATATCTAGGTTATTGGTGAAGCCGCTTATATTCATTGTAGCGGAGTACCGCTTATGCCGGAGTTTTGGACTTGTAGTAACATGATTAAATGAGAAAAGTGATGGTTCAAAAGTTATCCAGAAAATTTTGAGAGAGACTATTCAATGATCAAAATATAAAGGAAATGTTCAATCATATAACTTAGGATCATGTGAATGAAATTTATCCTAAGAAGAATCCCCAACATGGCTCATAAGTTATCTTGCAAATATCGATTTTATAACACAAAGATTATGCTAGGGGAAAAAAAGGCATTAAGGTTAGAGCTTTTAAAAAATGGTTTTCTTAAGGGAAAAGAGATGCTTTGTTAGACTTTTAAGTCCATCTTTATAGGTTGCCATATCTATTATAAGTATTTTCCAATTCAAAAATTTGCTTTAATGCTCTCAAGTGTCTGTTAGCTTTGAATACATTTATTTGAATTTATATTTAATTAATATGATTATTCAATATAAAACATGTTATCATGTTATTTTGTTATTTTTTTAATTTATACATATATTTTCAACAAATAGTAATGAAATATCTTTATAATTTATAAGCCGAAATTTGACATGCAATCTTTAATTTATTTTTCTCAATTCTTTATAAGCCCAAATTATAAAGAATTTTCATCAACTTATAGAGTATTATGAACTATAGTTATAAATATTTTTCCAGGTTTTTATGAATATATTAGGTATGAAAAATTGAAGGTTAATTGAAAATTTTTGAAGTTTTGACATGTATTAGTCCAAGCTAGATCTTTAGAACTATATTCATTTTACAAGCATTTTGCATTTGAGTATTTTATAAAGAATTTATTATTTTATAATTACTTTTTTAACAATTTATAGAGGCCCGTATTTCAAGTTTTAAAAGGTTTTGTAGAATTATTATTTTTGTATTAAATGTGATTTATTTTTTTGATTTAGCCATACTTTATAAAAACTATGATATATTAATATTTTTTAAATTTTCACCATACAACTTTCAATATGTTATTGTTCAAATAATTATACTATATATATATATAATGTGCATACTGTGTACATTAAATATATATGCTAACTACTATAATTTATATTTAGAAAGAATTTTCCTATTAAAATTGGGTCAATTATGTGAATCAAAAATATAATGAGAGATATAAATATGAGCATAATGTGATTTGAATGCCAATAGGTTGTGCTGACGACACTCATGTATTATGTAAATCATTATTTTTATTGATATGATATTATACCTAATTTGCTATGATTGATGCACAAACACCTTACTTGTATGATAAATGTATGATCAGAGACACTTTTTATTACGATATGCATGAAGAAATTTCTAAAATATATTACATTGTTATAATGTGACACCCCACGCGACATATGACACTAAAATTAACATAATTGAATCATAATTTGCATTATGTACATAGTATGTACTCCTATGTAGTAGCATGTAAACTTATTTATTTATTACATGTTTAATGTTCTTATACACAATATGTTTCGGTCATAGTTTATATTATGTGTGATGATAGATACTCCTCGTATTGTTATATGTGATAAAATAAATTACTCAAACTACAATTGCTATGAATGATATGACACAATACGCGACACAATGCACTAACAAAACATACTTTAAAAATGACTTTTCCTATCAAAATTGGGTCAGTGATGTGAACAAATAAGTATGAGCATGATATGATTTGAATGTTAATAAGATGTGGTAAACGACTCTCGTGTGTGGTTGACGATTCTCATGTATTATGTAACCTGATTTTTTTTATTGATATAATATTATACCTAATTTGTTGTGATTGATGCTTGAACACCTAGCTTGTATAATAAATATATGATGAGAGACACATTTTATTATGGTATACATTAAGAAATTAGTTAAATAAAATGCATTGTTATAATGTGACACCCCACATGACATATGACACTAAAATGAACATAATTGGATCATAATATGCATTGTGTACATAGTATGTACTATTATGTAGTAGCATTTAGATTTATTTATTCATGTGATGCACCATAATCTAAATTAGAAAAAATATTCATTTATCCATTAAATAAACAACAACCATAGCTATCTAATATAATCTATCAGTAATAAACAGTACAACGGATTGTATAATTCAAAACATTAATATACATAAATGTATTCATTCACAACAACTATATACACTACTCAAGATCTACACAATTAAATCATAACTACTCTATCACTAGTATAAAAATAGCTTATACAAAAAAAGAACCTAGATCTGAATATTCATGATCAGTCTCACACTCATGCTCCCCTGTCTTGATCAGAAATTAATTAACCATATATAATGAGCTTAGAAATCCCATAAGATCATTTAAACCTATAACTGAAATCAAAACACGGCCAAAGAGCAATATGCATGCCAACAGTCATATCGTAGCAGTTATATACTTATATTCATATAATTATTGAATCAGTACAGAAAATATAAAACTCACATGCAGTAGCAGTAAAATCTGTAAACAGTAAAATATTATGATACATAAGCTAGTAAAGTGGTAAACCAATATATGTGTCAAATCTATAAATTAATCATCGTATTTGTAATACAAATCAGTATATAAATCATATAACATATCAAATCAAAATATCAGTAAAGACTATCAAAATTAAATCAATGCAGTAAAATTATATAAAAATGTACACATGCTAGCTATCCATATATTTTTTATCATGTACTCAATATATTACATGATTAATATCAGTACAATGAATCAGTAGTATCAAATAGTATAAGTATCTATATCAGTAACAATTCAGTGATAGAAGCAGTAGACAGTAAATAATATAATAATATTAAATTCGTATAATACTAAGAATAATGCCTAAAAAATATGCATTTATGTAGTCATAGTAAACAAGCAAAAAGTCTTGACTATCATTATGTTTTTCAGTATTAGGAAACTATTGGCTTAGTAAACAGAGTCATTACGTTTTGCCCGTCGGCACAGTAATATTCTTCTTATTACTCCCAATTAGTGTATCACATAAATTAGTAGATGATAACATCAAATTGCAGTATTTAAAGAAAAGTCAATCGACCCATTATCTTGTATAGATCAATCAGTCAAGAACAAACAATTCAAATAGCCTTTACTTGTTTGTTTCACAAATGCACATTATCATCGTAATACTATAACAATAATAATGAGCCAGGGGCAAATCCAACTTCTTTTTTCAGGATGGGGAAAAATTTTTTTATGGGGGATAGACAAAGATACCTAGGATTAATATAGGGAAAAATATTTTTGAGAGG